AAATCACAGATGTAATGTCAGTTGGTGGAAAACCCTTGGTCCATCAAGATCAGTTTTGTCGACGCAGGCTGGCAGAGGTCTTTCACATTACCTCCTGCCTGGTCCTTTCCACTGGAGATGCTGGGGATTGGACCTGGGACCTTCTGTGTGCCAAGCAGATGCTCCGCTACTGAGCCCCGGCCCTTCCTCTGGTCCATCACAGGATGCCACAATACATCTGCAGCGCTTGGTTCAGGCAACATGTGTGGTTTAATTAACATAACTGTGATTAATTTGGATGTGGGCCGCTCCAAGAACTATGGTGAGTTCAGCTACACCAGGATCTGAAACCATAGTTTGAAGTTGAGTTGGAAGCAATGCTCCCTCTAAGCTGTGGAGTCTTGTGAGCAAAAATTCTACTTTGTGAGCTACTGGCATTAAAGTTGTGAGAAAGCGATTTGGCTAAAGGCATAAATCAGTTTGCTCTGGAGCCATCTTTCCGGAGCTAAGACAAAAATGTGTGATCCGGAGGCTAAAAAATTGTGAGCTAGCTCACACTCACTCAGCTTAAAGGGAACACTGGTTGGAAGCCAGCTTGGCACAGCAGTTAGAATGTCAGACTAAGGTTTGCCAGACCCAGGTTCAAATCCCTGCTCTGCCATGGAAGCTTGCTGGGTGACCTTGGGCCAGTCACACACTCGCAGCCTAGCCAACCTCGCAGGGTTGTTGTGAGGATAAAACGAAGGGGGGGAGAATGATGTAAGCTGCCGAGTCCTCGTTGGGGAGAAAGCTGGGGTATAAATGAAATAATTTGCACCCTGCCTTTCTCGACAATGGGGACCCAAGGCAGCTTGCATCATTCTCCTCCCCTCCATTTTATCCTCACAACAAAACCCCCGCAAGGTTCGTTAGGCTGCGAGTTCGTTAGGCTGCGAGTGTGTGACTGGCCCAAGGACAACCAGCCAACTTCCATGGCACGAGTGGGGATTCAAACCTGGGACTCCCAGATATGAGTCCGACACTCTTAACCATCCACTACACCACATTAATAACCACAGTGAGTACGATGGAATGTTTCAGGAGGGTGCTTGTATAAAGATAGAAGATTGTCATCTATCATACTGTTTACTGATATCTTGCTCTTAGGGCACTGTTTTCATCTTCTGCAGTCCATTTTATGCATTGTCTATGGTATGCCATGTCTTAGAATTAATGTTTATCTGCATCGCCTTCTAGTTTTGTAATCCTAGTCCGGCTGCATTATTTATTGGGTGGCTCTTTTACAGTGTCTGATCGCATTGCTTTCATATTTTTTTTCTAATCCGCCTCGAGTCTCAGCAAGAAAGACTACAAAGGAAATAAATAAATAAATAAATAATGGACGAAGGTGATATCTTGACTGGTCAGAGGGCGGGGACTCAGGGAGACAATGAAACGGTCTGTTGTCAAGAAAAAACAGGCCTGGAATGATCACCTGTGACCAAATCCTGGGCTCACAGACTGAGCATATTAAACAACAAAAAACCCTTTGGTTTTCAAAGCACGTTTGAGCCCAGGGGCACTAAGGCCAACAAAGTCTTATTCCGGGTAGAAACTTTCCTGTGCATGCACGCTTCTTCAGAGACATTGAAACAGACTTCCTCAAGCCTTACATATAGGTAGGGAGGGTTAGTTGGCAGGAAGGGCTAGTTAAGCATCAAGATGCATAAGTAACTGAGTGATAACTATAGCTAAGCTTGGATTAAAACTAAGTTTTGTGTCCCACATCTGTTTGTTAACTCTTTTTTGTATGCTAATTTGCTGCTATTCTATGGTGGCTCAAGTGGTTAAGACGCTGAACTGCAGGCTGTGGAAGGTCAGTAGTTCAGCAGTTCGAGACCCGGGTGCCGCAAGACAGGGTGAGCTCCTGTCTCTAGTTCCAGCTCCTGCCAACCTAGCAGTTCGAAAGCAAGACATTGCAGGTAGATAAATAGGTACCACTTCGATGGGAAGGTAACAGCGTTCCACTTCGATGGGAAGGTAACAGTGGTGTTTAGTCATGCCGGCCACGCGACCACGGAAACGTCTTCGGACAGTGCTGGCTCTTCGGCTTGGAAACAGAGATGAGCACCGCAAACCCATTCGGATTCAAATGGCTTTCGAGGAAGGGACCTTTTTTACCTTGCTGCTATTCACAGGTCTTGCCAACTGCTTTAATTTAATCTTAGCTATACTTATCGCTCAGTGACGTATGCATCTTGACTCTAATTAGCCTTTCCGGGCAACGAACCCTTCCCCACAGACCCTCTCTCTACCTATCTGTAATGGCTGAGGAAGTCTTGTTTCAACGTATCTGAAGAAGCGTGCACGCACAGAAAAGCTTCTACCCAGAATTAAACTTTGCTGGTCTTAAAGGTGCCGCTGGACTCAAACTTTGTTCTATGGCTTCAGGCCAACACAGCTGCCCACCTGAATCTGCTTGTGGTTTTATGTTATACTAGAAATAATGCCCGTTGCGAAAATAAATACAACGGGATCTAGAAAGAGGCTCTGGGAGAGTGCTCTGGCTTTGGGCAAACAGTGTCAGTTTCCTGTGGCGACCTCAGCAGGGTTTAATGACAGAGTCCACTGTTTTCTCCAGAGGGACTGATCTCTGCTACCTGAAGAGCATTTGTATGTTTGAGTTATCTGTAGCCCTCACCTGGAGAGTGGTAACCATTGTTACCCATTCTCCTCTCCCCTATGAGGTATGTTATGCAACTGAAAATCCCAACTGCCTTGCGCGGGGGGGGGGGAGTTTGAGGTGTGGAATGGACTGAAGTCCAATCAGCTTCCATATGCAAAAGACCAGGTTGTCGCAGCAGTTGTGGTGTGGGCGGGACCCGGGCTTTGCCTTCTGATTGGTGGCGAAATATGCTGAGGAGCAGTGCCATCAGCCATACACTAAGGGAGTGCATTTTAGAATTAGAACTTTGGCACCCACTATTCAATTATATATAAGGAGAGATTTGAACACAGCCTTTGTGTTTAGTGTGCCCAGAAGACAGTAAGAGCCAGATTCCGGAAGACCAACAAGATTTTCAGGGTATGAGGTTTTGATAGTCAAAGCTCCATTTTCCAGAAGACAGTAAGTCCATATGAAATACAAAAATGCTGGGAGGAAACTTCGCTTAAATCACAACTGTTGATTGTTGCATTGAAACATGGCTTGCCCTGTCTGGCTATACATGGATGGCTCGTATGCATTTTGTTTCCAATCAGCAGCTATTTTGTGTCTGTCTCCTTCTGTAGTTGCAGAAGGCAGAAGTGGAAGGGACTACTCTCTGACCGATTCTGCAACAGCAGTTGTTCCGCCCTCGGTCTCCCGTTTCCCCCAGTTGTACTGCTCAATTTCCCACTTTTTGATGCGTGGCCGCATTTTTACTCACATCTCCCCCCGATTTCCCCTGCATCTTCTTGATCCTGCTTTTGCGGAATCGGTCTCTGTGTTAAGACAGGTGGCAAAAAGCAGCCAAAAACAGCTTGAGAACCAAAGATGTTGCACGACTGCTAATGAGTAGCCAGCAGAGGGTGCTGCTTGATCTTTCAACAGAATGTTTCCCTTTACAATGGTCAGCAAATACCGTGCTACAGAAGATTACAAAGTATCTCAAGTTATATATATATTATTTCTTCTATATTTCTTACAAATTATTCACCATTATATTAATTATCATATAAACATTAATACATAGAAAGAATCATATATCCAAAATCTAAGTATTGTCTCTTTATATATCACAAAAGATGCACAACCCCTTTATTAATACCAGCCCTCCTTAATTGTACAAAAGTTTTAAGAGAGAGGACTCCTTTAAGTCAATTTTGAATTAGTGGTCAGTCTTGAGGAAGAATTGAAACAGTTTCCCAATGAAGAAAGGTTAAAGCGCTTGGGGCTCTTTAGCCTGGAGAAACGACGGCTGAGGGGACATGATTGAGGTTTATAATATTATGCATGGGATACAGCAGGTAGAGAAAGAAGTACTTTTCTCCCTTTCTCACAATACAAGAACTCGTGGACACTCAGTAAAATTGCTGAGCAGTCGGGTTAGAACAGATAAAAGGAAGTACTTCTTCACCCAAAGAGTGATCAACACTTGGAATTCCCTGCCAGAGGAGGTGGTGGTAGCTACAAGCATGGACAGCTTCAAGAGGGAATTGGATAAACATATGGAGCAGAGGTCCGTCAGTGGCTATTAGCCATGAGGTATAGATAGGAACTCTTCATCTGGGGCAAGTGATGCTCTGTATTCTGGTGCTTGGGGGGGGGGAGGACAGTGGGAGGGCTTCTAGTGTCCTGGCCCCACTGCTGGACCTCCTGATGGCACCTGGTATTTCTGGCCACTGTGTGACAGAGAGTGTTGGACTGGATGAGCCATTGGCCTGATCCAACATTGGCTTCTCTTATGTTCTCATGTTCTTATTCACAGTCGAACATTGAAAAGGTATGGAACGGAACACTCGCTACCACAAAACTATGGGAGGAGAACCCAGCAGGAGAAGTGATGCCCATCCAACATTTCAGCAGAGTCTTTTCAGAGTTTAAGGGAATGGAATTTTAATAATCAAGTCACTGGCAGAAGAATGTCCTACCATAGAGATCTGGAAAGGAAAACTCGCTGAGCGTGCAACATTGGCAAAACTAACTAATTATATAAACAGAAGACCATTGAAAGAATTTCTTCAGAAATGGCAAGCTTGCCGCTCATATTATGGGAAAAGCTAAATTTTGTTTGCTCAGAAGTTTGTTCAACTGTTAAAGATGTGATCTTTCTTACTGTTAACAGATAATCGTTAACATTAGGAAAGTTCTTGTTTATTCTTTTAGAGAGAACCCATCCAAAAACACTGGAATATTGATGTTTCCTTCTTCCCTTTTGTACCCCACCTTTTTTGAGAAATTTTTTTAAAAAATTAACCATCAAAAAAATAAAGTCACTGGCATAATTTGCTGTCTCAGAGGAAAACTACAACAACTTTTGGGACCCGCCTTTCGCACTCACCCCCACTCTGGTCTTGGCTCTCGAGGCCTTCTGCCGCATGGATTCGTATCTGAGACACCCTCTTAGGGAAGCCACGCAGCATATCCAGGCACTCCGGCTTGGGTTTGTTCAGCTTCAGCTCCCTGAAACGTCGAGATTGAACACATCGGATGAGCGGGAAGGATCTGGGTACAAATGCCAGACTCCTTTTACAAAATGCTGAGATTCACCCCATTCAACAGCTGTTTTAGATCAAGATGGGCAGGGGTCATTTCCTGCAGGAGCGCACAGGAGCAGAGCTCTGGCAGTAAAGAGCCCAGGGGGCGGGCACATGCAACAAGCCCCACCCCCTGCTCAGCAGTCCTCAGTCAGAGCAAGAAGCAGCCAGGTAAGCTGCAGAGGGCCCCCCCCCGGCCCAAAACAGTCCAGTGGCACCTTTAAGCCCAAGTTTTGTTCAGGTACAAGCTCTCCCTCCTCTGTGAGGGCAAATCAGTGGAGGTACACTCAACATTGCCCCCCCCCCCAATAGCTAGCAATCCAAAACAGTCCAGTGGAGCCTGAGCGGTGGGTATTGCCTTCTGACACACACTTCCGGTGATGTCAGGGGGCGTGGCATATGCAAATAAGTTATGCTAATGAGTTATGCTAATGAGCTCCTGCACGGTTTTTTCTACGAAATGACCCCTGAAGATGGGTATCCGTGTGAGTCTGTCTGTAGCAGCAGAAACGAGCAAGAGTCCAGGAACACCTTCAAGACTAACAACATTTTTGGCAGGCTTCCGTGGGTCACCGCCCGCTGCTTCAGATACTCACGAAAGCTCATACCCTGCCAAATTTCGTAAGTCTTTAAGGTGCTCCAGGACTCTTGCTCTTCGACAGCTACAATGCAATCAGCCATTTTTATTAATAACGAAGAAGCAGAGTCAGAAGCATACATGGACTTCCGGGAGCCTCACAGATCTATTAAAACTGGACCAGAATGAGGAGGAAGAAGATACCAGGCACTGGAAGCTGCCTCCTGACCAATGGCCCCGAAGAGAAGGTCCCCCCACTGCTTTCGCCCCTGGGAGAGTTACTCAGCTTGACGCCTACGGAGGTTGGGGGTGGTGGAAAGTGCAAGTCACAGCCGGTGTATGGCGACCCAACAAGGTTTTCAGGGCAAGAGATCTTCAGAGGCGGTTTGCCAACCCTGGACTTCCTGGGTGGTCTCCCATCCGACGACTGACCAGGGCCAGGCCTGTAGCTACAGTGGGGCCTCCTGGGGCCCGGCCCCCTAACTTCTTCCCAAGGCCCCCTGACTTTTTAGGAGGAGCCAGGGGGAGGCCGTGCGCGCCTGCACTCCAAGCTGCGAATTCATGGCTTGGAGTGCAGGTGTGTGTGGCTTCTTCCTCAAAGCATTTAAAGGGACCCTTTAAACGCTTGGGGGGGGGAGTGGGGCAGCATGTGGGAGCCACATGCAAACTTCAGTGCCCCCTGACTTTTTAAAAGGCCCCCCAAACTAAAAAATACTGGCTACGGGCCTGACCCGGGCTGACCCCTGCTTAGCTTCTGAGATCTGATAAGATCCATCTCGCCTGGGCTATCCAGGTCAGGGGCTTATGGAGGTTATGGGGTAAATACTTCCATATCCCAGAAACCGGCTGGCATACTTCAGTCTGGCAGCCATGTTGCATGCCGAGGGAGCAGGCAGCTTCCTGCAGGTCCGGCTGTCACGCTACTCCTTTCTCAGCAGCCACCCGAGAGTTACTGTTTTGGACATCTGTCTTAACACACATAAAAACTATAACCGGTTACGCAACACCGGAAAATCCCCAATCTGTTTTATTAAACCTCTGGCAAGATCTAAACATCCCCAAAGCACGTTGTGAGCTTATTCCCATACTTCTGTTAGCTGCAAAGAATGTAATAGCTACATATTGGAAAATGCCAAATCTTCCTTCATTAGAATTGTGGTGAAACGTCTTTGGACAGCGCTGGCTCTTCGGCTTGGAAACGGAGATGAGCACTGCATCCCTAGAGTCGGATTTGACTGGCTTTCGAGCAAGGGAAACCCTTACCTTTACTGTTCCAAAATTTGGGAATATGCTATAATGGACAAAATAAGAGAAGGAATTCAAAGATCAGAAAAACTCAAGGCTAACTGTGATGACCTAGAGAAATGGTACCCCTTTTTGGGGAAATGTCGTTTTGATCAATAAAATCCAAATTCACTTGAAAATAAGAGAAACAGTGAATGTATTGCTCTATTGTAGAATGAGTGTTAATAATGTAAACATTTATGTAGTGACAAAATAGTTTGTAGTGAATTTTGGGTTTTTTATGCTTCTATTATTATTGTTATAAATATCAGAATGTTTAATAAAAAATGTTTTAAAAAAAGAGAGTTACTGTTTTGCAAAGGAAAAATGGCCAGACCAGGAGCAGGTAGGTCTTGAAAAACCAGGCAAAATTGAGGGATGCACCCAACAGCAGGAACTCATTAGGATTGGCTACATTTAGGGTGTGTGGCCTAACATGCAAAGGGGTTCCTGCTACAAAAAAAAGCCCTAAACAGAATAAGAAGCAAAGGTGAGTGTGTCTGGATGACCACACTTCTGGTAACATGGGGTGTGTGGCCTAATATGCTAATGAGCTGCATTGTCATGGGTGTGGCCTAATATGCTAATGAGTTTCTGCTGTTGGGTGTGCTCTATTATGCTAATGAGTTCCTGCTGCTGAGCTTTTTCTACAAAAAAAAGCCCTGAAAAGAACAAAGTTTGAGTCCAGTGGCACCTTTAGGACCAACAAGGTTTTATTCTGGGTATCAACTTTCCTTTCAATGGGAGGAGTGTTCACAGGCAAATCTCAATGGGAAGGGAGTGCTAGCCCAAAAGACTCACCGACTCTTCCCCCATAGCAGTGGAACAGAGAAACAATGACTACGAACAGCCATAAAAAGAATGCAAGTATCAGTGGAAGGCAGGAGGATCTAATGTACATGTCTGTGTCCCCTCCTGTTGGAGTGAGCAACTCAGCCTGCCTACATTGCTCTAAGGGTGTAGAGGTGTTATCTCCTTGAATGGGAGGCCTCTCTTTGTCTCTCCTCTTTGTCTTCACCTGGGAGCTGCCCTCTGACCTCTCCTCTCTCTTTGTCCTCCCCTTCTCTGCACATGGCCTTCCATGGAGACCCAGGTCTCTGCAGGTCTCTCCTGCAGAGGCAATGCCCTCCTACTCCCCCACACACATTGATGCCAGACAAGCTGGCCATTTGTGATGGGGAAAATACTCTTTTGATTAGGCTTCTCTTTCTCTTATTTTGACAGCAGCCTGAATGTGGACTGGATCTACTTGAATAAATGTAAGTTTTTCTTCTTTTCTTGCAATATACCTCTTGGGGAGATTTATTTACTGCACTCAGCGTGCGGTCAGACGGCCTGGTGGGAGTGGTTTAAACGGCTCCGGTTCCAAGTGGACTAATTTGATCCGAGGCAAGTGCGATCACACTCACCTCCCTCACCCCGCAACACATCGCTCCCGGGTGTCCACAACTAGGCGCACAACAGCGTGTTTCAGCGGTTTAAAAAAAATTACTATTATTTTACATTTTGCACATGCGCATAGGCAGCCATCCACAGAACTGAGAACTTTGCGCAGGCGCAGAACACCCTGTCCCGAAAAGCATGCCCTGAAGGAACACTGCCTTTTAAACTTTTACAGCGAAAAGGGCCTCTGTGAGGTCCCGGACTCGTCCAAAGCCTAAAACTAATCACCGTTGTTGGTTTTTTTGGTTTTATTAATGCCGGGGTGAAGCTTCACCCAAGCACATATCGCTGAGGCTTAAAAAAAAATGGCAGGCGAAAAGCGGAAGCCTCGGGCTTCCCAGGGGAAGTGGCTCTACACCGGTGGAGAGCCATCACATGGGGAAAATGCGACTGGAACCGGAGCCCTCAGGAAAACACCACTTGGGGACCTAGTAGCAAAATACACCGGTTTAAAGAGTGTTTGGGACGGTTGGCGACGGCTCGGGATGGAAGGCAGATGTTGCCTGTGTGATTGCGCGCAAGTACTCCGTTTCCAACCGGCATCTATACCAGCTCAAATGGCCCATCTGTATGCACCCTCAGTTTCACACTTCTATTGCCCAAACGTTGCGATATTAACCAAACATCCCAATACTTTTTTCAAATGACCTTCACATCAATTTGGCACAATGCTGTCCATAAGCCCTTGTGACTCTTCTGCTGAACTGTCTGTGAATCTCTCCTTCGCTGTGTGTGTACGCTGCACGTGCCCATTTCATCAAACGTATGGACAGTTTGCACTGGAGGAGCACGAGAGAAGCAGGAGATGGCGCCACACCCCCGGAAGAAGCAGTACCTGAGTTTTGACGGCACATCCGTGAACACCCTCAGCATGAACTCTGTTTCCACACCGGGGCTGAATGTGGTTGGGATCAGGACGTATCGGCCTCGCTTGAGAAGCACCTTCAAAAACACCGTGCGCATGTCGATGTACGCAGAGGTCGCCACCTTCTCTTGTATGTGCATCGTATGCATTCGACATTCTCTGTTGTCCTCCACCTGGGAAGGGAAACCAGAGGGCACCGTTTGTTCTTCACACAGACGCTACCTCGGCTGGGGGACGTCCATCGAGTTCGGACCTTTGGGTCCGGTGGCCTCCTGGATCTACTATGTGGCACAGATGCAAAAGCGCCACTGCATTGAGGGAGGACACACGGCACATCTGAGAAACGGACATCGTCCCGTGTAGCTGATTTAGGTCGTCTGGAGGTGGGCTCAGCAAGCGGCGTGACCACCCACCTTGAAGATTTCAAAGCCGATGACGAAGTTCTCCCCTTTCCCTTCTTTCTTGTGAATTCGCTGGTCCTTCTGCTGCAGGGAGATCAGGACTTTGTCCTCTGCCTTCTTAACATCAAAGACGTACTGAAAGGGAGGGAAGGAGGAGGATGGACATGGAGCCCGCAAGGTCTCTGATGCTGGCCACCTACACCCCGGGGATCGGCAACAGGGTGACCAGGGCTCTTTTTGTAGAAAAAGCCCAGCAGGAACTCATTAGCATAATAGGCCACACCCAACACCAGAAATGCATTAGCATATTAGGCCACCCCCCTACCAGCACATTTCATTAGCACATTAGGACGCACCCCCATGTTACCAGAAGTGTGGTTATCCAGCCACACCCACCTTTTGCTTGTTATTCTGTTTACCTTGTTTGTTGTCAAAACTCCTTTGCATGTTAGGCCACACACCCCTAATGTAGCCAATCCTAATGAGTTTCTGCTATTGGGTGTGGCCTATTATGCTAATGAGTTCCTGCTGGGCACGGCCAACTTGGGAGCCAGCTGGAACTCTGTTGCTGTGCGTTCCTGCCCAAAAATAGCCCCTATGGGCACCATGGCAGCATCCTTCCTGGGGCCTGCCAAGTGTTTTTAGAAAGTGGGCGTGGTCAGGTGGGGCTTTTGCCCAACAAGGCTTCTGGCTGGCCAGTGGAGTTTTGATGGGCTGTGCAGATTTGTGAATATGTTTCTCTGGCAGCCACTGCCACCACAGCACAAGGATCTTCACTGTGTGACTGAAGGTAAGCTGCGGCAGCCGTTTTGTGCCTGGCTCTGTCTCCCGTGGCAGCCATTTCATGTAGGGTTGCCAGGGATCCCTACCCCCAGGCCCCGCCCCCCACTGCCAATCAGCGGACTGGTGTGGGGACTGACCAGGAGCAGGAGGGAGGCCCAGTCTATGTCGGCGGCAGCATGGCGATATCAGTGCTGGCATGTACCGGAAGGGTTGTCATCACGTCGTCGATGTCGCAGTGACGCTCTGGTATTTGGGCAAAAACTTATGGTAGAAGCCATTTTTACCATAGAGTTTTCGCCCAAATGCCAGAGTGCCACAACAGCACAACATGATAACATCACTTATGGTACACGGTGGATGTCTCATCACCACGTCATTGACAACATAGCCTGGGCCTCCCTCCCGTGCCTGGTAAGTGCCCCCCCATCTCTTGCCAGTTGCCAGGAGTGACCCAAAGACTCTAATTTGGGGTCTGCATCTGCCATGCTTGGTCAGAATTCCAAAGGTGCCCACAGGCTCAAAATGGTTGGGGACTAGGGTTGCCAAGTCCTTACCCTCTGTATACCGGGGGAGTCCAGCGCTGCTCTGGGAGGCTACGTGTGCAATTACGTCACCCAGAAGTGACGCAACCATGTCGGGTACGCCGGGGGTGGGGCCACAATCATCCGAGGGAAAACCATAGAGTTTTCCCTCGGATTACCACGGCCCCACCCCCAATGCAACCGACGCGACTGCGTCACTTCCGGGTGACGTGCTGACGCCGGGTACGTCGTGTGCTTTGGGGGTGGGGTTCCCCCCGGGGCCCGATCCGCCGGCGGCGGGTAACGGGCCTCTCGGGTGGGGGTTTCCCCGCCCCCCGGGGGGACTTGGCAAGCCTATTGGGGACCCCTGGTCTACACAACTGGACAATGGCCAAAGGACTTGTGCGGCCTGTTAAAATGAAGACAAGCCCTGCACAGCCCCAAATTTTGTAGCAAGGTTTTGAGAGGTACATTTGGGGGGGCAGAAACAATGCATAACAGCCAAACCCTTGTAGCAGTACCTTATAGTAGTAGCTGGACAGATTTTATTTAATTGCACTGAGATTAATCCAGTTCTGTCTTGCAAGATCTATAAATATATGCCTAATGCTTGTCAATTATTTCCATTCCCATCATACTCACTGGCTGCAACAGTGCAGGCCAACTTCTTACTGAGAAATTGGGTAGAACTGGGAAGGAGCTTAATTTAAATGCAAACGAGGGATGCCAGCCTCCAGATGGGGCCTGGGGACCCCCCAGAATTACAGCTCATCTCCAGACTACAGGGATCAGTTCCCCTGGAGAAAACGGATGCTTTGGAGGGTGGGCTCTGTGGCATCGTACCCCACTGAGGTCCATGTTAGGGTTGCCAGCTCTGGGTTGGGGAATACCTGGAGATTTGGGGGGTAGAGCCTAGGGAGGGCGGGGTTTAGGGAGGGGGAGGGACCTCAGCGGGGTCTAACGCCATAGAATCCTTCCTCCAAAGCAGCCAGTTTCTCCAGGGAGATTGCTCTCGGCTGTCTGGTGACCAACTGTAAAAGCAGGAGATCTCCAGGTGCCTCCTGGAGGGTGACACACCTGGTCCCTGTCCTCCTCGGTCTCCACGTGCAAATCTCTAGGAGTTTCCCACCCCAGCCCCCACACCTCCGTCAGTGAGCAGGAGGGATCTGGCAACTAGGGATGCCAGCCTCCAGGTGGGGCCTGGATATCCCCTGGAATTACAGCTCATCTCCAGACTACAGACAGGAGTTTCCTGGTGAAAAGGTCTGCTGTGGAGGGTGGTCTCTATGGCACTGTAACCTCCTGAGGTCCTCGCCCTACCTAGGCTCCATCTCCAAATCTCCAGGAGTTCCCCACCCTGGAGTTGGCAACCCTAACCTCCCATCCCCTTCTAGTGGCCAGGAAGGACCCAGCAACCCTAATGCAAACGTGGAATCTCCACGAGGGGCCCAGCCCCCTTCATGCCCCCTCTGTGGCTTATGGCTCTGCAAGAGAGCCAGGAGACCACCCACGTAAGCCAGAGGGTTCCAGGGAGCCACAGAAGCATAGCGCTCCCCATAGAAATGACATAATGTGCAGCTGCAAATGAAGCAGAATGCCAAGACTGAGACAATTCTGTAGGAACGCTGAAGTAACTAGCTAGAAACTGAAGGCCCACGGGGAATCGTGGGAGGGGGAAATTATTTGCAAATCCCTCACCACGCCTCAAAAACGGGATTCTTAACGCTGAGGGAGGTAGGGAGAAGGCCGATTCCCTCACTGTTGGTTTCCTTTGACTGACTCTCTTATCTGCTCTGCACGCCTCTTGTCATGTCCTCCTCAGTCAGGGTCTTGTGTTTTGGGGGGAGGGGTCCTTGATTAATTCAGAGTGTCATATTCGTCTAGACAAGTATATTTGTCTGCAGGAACCTCTCCTTTGCCTGTGAATGAACCCGTTTTGTGATCATAACAGGGACCAGTTCCATTGTTATTATCTACACTGAAGTAACTAGCTAGAAACTGAAGGCCCACGGGGGAATCGTGGGAGGGGGAAATTATTTGCAAATCCCTCACCACGCCTCAAAAATGGGATTCTTAACGCTGAGGGAGGCGGGGAGAAGGCCGATTCCCTCACCGTTGGTTTCCTTTGACTGACTCCCTTATCTGCTCCGCACGCCTCTTGGCATGTCCTCCTCAGTCAGGGTCTTGTGTTTTGGGGGGAGGGGTCCTTGATTAATTCAGAGTGTCATATTCGTCTAGACAAATATATGCAGTACATTTGTCTGCAGGGACCTCTCCTTTGCCTGTGAATGAACCCGTTTTGTGATCCTAACAGGGACCAGTTCCGTTGTTATTAGCATACAGAGGAAAGTAAAAAAAAGGCTAGCGCCTATTTGGCCTCTGACCAAGGGCTTAGGGAGGAAAAGTGGAGAGCAGCATGGATTCCCATGACTCATTTTGCTGTCTTTCTCTCTCCAGAGACCAGCCGTCTCTAACTTTCAACTGTGGGGTACTATCAACAGGAGATGGTAAATCTTCATCCTCACTGCGTGCAAACTTCTGGTCCCTGTGGGCAGGCGGAACGGCAAGCTCTAGGAGTCAACAGTCTAATCCACCAGGGCAATGCTAAGGCCCGCCTTGTCTTCTGCTGGATGTGAAGAATTTAGGTAGATCATGATGGGGGTGGCAGGAAGGGATGAGCCAGTGCTCGGCTCTTGCGGTCCCTTCTTACATGCCCGGGGCAATGCCGATCGCTAGGGCTTTTTTTGTAGAAAAAGCCCATCAGGAACGCATTAGAATAATAGGCCACACCCAACAACAGAAACTCATTAGCATATCCAGCCACACCCATGAGAGCGTAGCTCATTAGCCTATTAGGCCACACCCCCACGTTACCAGAAGTGTGCTCATCCAGCCACAGCCACCTTTTGCTTCTTATTCTGTTTACCTTGTTTGTTGTCAAAACCCAGGGCCTTTTTTTGTAGCAGGAA